GTGTATCAATACTCGTATCAGAAAAAAATAGACTTTAAAACAAAGATTGTAACAAGAGACAAAGAAAGACACTGCATATGATAAAGAGAATAGTCCAACAAAAGTATATAGCAATTGTAAATATTTATGCACCAACATGAAAGCACCTAAATAAAGAAAACAGCTATTAACAGACATAGAAGAAGAAATTGGTAATAATACAATAATAAGAGGGGATTTTGACATCCCACTTACATCAATGGATAGATCATCCAAACATAAAAACAAAAATGAAACACTGTCTTTGAATGACATATTGGACCAGATGGGTCTAACAGATAAATTCAGAATATCCCATCTCAAAACAGCAGAGTACACATCCTCTTCAAGTACACATGGCACATTATCCAGGACTGACCATATATTAGGGCATAAAAAAATCTTAACAAATCATGTCGCACATTTTTTCCAACCACAACAGTTGAAAGTGGAAATCAATCACAAGAAAATCTGGAAGGAACACAACTACATGGAAGCTAAATAACATGCTACTAAACAATGAATGGATCAATCAAGAAATGAAAAAAAAAAAAAACACATGAAGACAAGTGAAAATGAGAGCACAATGGTTCAAACTCTATGGGATGCAGCAAACACTGTCCGAAGAGGAAAGATTTTTATATCTTTCATTTTGAGAGAGTATGTTTAGGAATATTCTATCACTGTCTCCTCTCTCTTGCAGAATGGGGTCTCCCCCATGGCAATGAATTTCATGATAACTTATTGAAAGTACAGCAAAAAGATAACCACATTGAATATGGAAATCTCAGGATAACAGCTGTGTTCCAGGTTGAAGACCTACCAATTCAGACTGGAACAGATCAGATTTCAGGAAAAATTTCTTCAAGATAATAAAACTGTTACACTACCAAATGTGTATGAATGTATTGAGAAGAGAGATATGCACCTGGGAAGGGTTTCAGTATAAATTAGTAGTAAGTACCTACAAAATTAAGCAAGCAAAAATGCAAAAAAAAAAAAAAACAAAAAACAAAAAACTAATAATGAACACAAAAACAAAACAAAACAAAAAACAAAATAATGTTACACAGAAATAGTATAATATACTACATATATTAATATGTAGTATAATAGTATACTACATAAGTCAAATATGTAAAACACTTACTTAGTTATAATAATGTTAACACTGGATAACTAACTAACCGAAATTATGAAATAACCAAACTGGGAGAATAAAAGGAGAAAAAGTATGCATGTAAGTAAAAGGATCACTGAAGAGATCTTGAAAAATATTGAGGATAAACCCTCGTATTTCATAGTGGAAAATCAATCAACAATGGCTAGCATTGAAAAATCAAGAAATAGTCATATAAACAGAGAGAAGGGAGACTCTTAGGTATTCTCCCTCTTCCATAATAATAAAAAAATTTAGCTGGGCATATGGCTTCCCAGAGTATAACTGCATTTGCAGCATCCCTACAGTTAGGTATGACCATGGAACTAATCTTCAGCCAGTGGGTTAGAAGTGAATGTGTCTTGTGACAGTTTCTGGGAATCCTCTTTAAAAGATAGCTGGTACACACCCCTTGCCTCTTCTTTTACCCCCCTCTGTCTTGCTTCCTGGACCATAAGTGTCATAATTTTGGACCTTGTGGGCAAGAAGTACATCATAGAGATGGCAGACTTGAAGGTGGAATGTACCAGAGTCTCTGAGGAGTTTATGGGGCAGAACTGCCATGCCAATTTTAAGTTGTATATCCCTGGACTTGTACATGAAATTAAAATATCTTGTCTGAATTACTATTGAGTGTTTCTGTTACAGCCAAACCTAATTCTAATTAATACAACACATTATTCATAGGTGGAGGTAAAAAGTGCTTGATTCCACCTATTGGAAAATAGGAGTAGGGAAAGAATAAGGAATGTTGGTTTTATAGCAAGTTTTACAGAACTCGGCTCCTTAAGCTGGGTGCATTTATAACTTCTATTTAAAAAAAAAACAAAAATGATAAGAACAAAAACCCATGTTCTGAAGTTCCTTATTCTTGGCATTTAGGCTTCTCATACCATTATCCCACTCCAATTCTTCTTCAATCATTTGTATTCTTGTGTTATCCTTCTTGCTAGACTCCAAACTACTTAAAAATAGGAAAAGTGTCTGATGCATTTCTATTTCTTTGTTAGTATACATAACGTAGCATACTCAGTAAATGCAGGATTTAATTTGATTTTTCATTTGGATCCAAAAAAAAAAAAACAAAAGGCAAGCATTGTGAGAATAGCAATTATTTTTCGAAATCTGTGCTCCATGGTTTCTCCCAATATTCCAGTTTTCTTCATCTATGTATGTGAAAATACTTTATTTCTTCCTATAGAAGAAATCTGAATTTTGTCATTTGTTCTTTAATAGCACTTCCCTCTTGATTTTCTGGGATGAATCTCCAGTGTAAGCTGAAGCCTACTCATACTTCCTTGAAAAAGCCAACTGTTAGCATCTCTTCTGAATTCCACATTGAATGATCCATGAAATCACCCGGAGTGGTATTCTTTATACCACTTAAATCAAGAAATGCTATAAGAGACTGTTAAAAACTGAGAACAAACTGAGGGTTGATGGGGGGTGGGAGGGAGGGGAGGGTGGGTGATGGGTATTGAGGAGGGCACCTTTTGGGATGAGCACTGGGTGTTGTATGGAAACCAATTTGACAATAAATTTCATATATTAAAAGGAAAAAAAATCAAGAAATGCTATAAATCAGGTTTTTTTTCCTTAGCTAATTGTTAAACACTTATGAACATACTACTATTGCTACTATTTAAATCTTATATCCACATTTTATAAATTGAATGTAAACTACTGTACCCATGACTGATCAATATAATTTTCGATCAAAATTTCATTACATAACATGTGAGGTTTATTTCATATTACCTTATGTAATGTTTCATAATGTAATGTAATGTAATGTAATCACCCAAATTCCGAATATTTTCAGCATGCCAAAAAGAAACCCTATACTCATTAACAATTATTTTTCATTCCTCCCTATCTCAATCCCCTGGCAATTACTGATACTACTTTTCATTTCTGTAGATGTTCCTATTCTGGATATTTCATATAAATGGAATCATAAAATATGTGGTCTTTGGTGACTGGTTTCTTTCACTTAGCATAATGTTTTCAAGAATCATCTATTTTGTAGCACGTTTCAGTATTTCATTACTTTATATGTTTATATAATATTCCATTCTATGCTATATCACATTTTCTTTATGCATTCACTTCATGGACATTTGTTTTTTTCCCACTTTTTGGCTATTATGAACAATGCTGCTATGAATATCCATGTATAAATACTTTTTTAAAGTTTTTATTTAATCCAATTAGTTAACATACAACTTATTATTAGTTTCAGGTGTACAATTCAGTGTTTCAACACTGACATACAACACCCTGTGCTCACTGCAAGTGCACTCCTTAATCACCAACACCTATTTATTCCATCCCTCCCAATCACCTCTTCCATCGTAACCATTAATTCATTCTCTATAGTTAAGAGTCTGTTTCTTGGTTTGCCTCTCTCTCTTTTTTTTCTCCTATGATCATTTGTTTCAATAAAACAAAAAGCTTTGCACAGTGAATGAAATGATCAACAAAACTAAAAGCCAACCTACAGAATGGGAGAAGATACTAGCAAATGACATTCTGATAGAGGATTATTATCCAAAATATATAAAGAACTCATAAAACTCAACACCCAAAAGATGAATAATTCAATTAAGAAATGAGCAGAAGACAAGAATAGACATTTTTCCAAAGAAGACATACAGATGGCCAACAGATATATGAAAAGATGCTCACCATCACTGATCATCAGAGAAATACAAATCAAAACTACAATGAGGTATCACCTCACACTTGTTAAAATGGCTAAAATTAACAACACAAGAAACAACAAGTGTTGGTGAAGATGTGAAGAAAGGGGAACCCTCTTGCACTGTCTGTGGAATGTGAATTGGTGCAGCCACTGTGGAAAACAGTATGGAGTTTCCTCAAAAAATTAAAAATAGAACTACCTTACAATCCAGGAATTGTACAACAAGGTATTTACCCATAGAATAAAAAATACTAACTTGAAGGGATACATGCACCTCAATGTTTATAGCAGCATTATCTATAATAGCCAAATTATGGAAACAGACCAAATGTCCATTGACTGCTGAATGGATAAAGAAAAAGTGGTACATATATACAATGGAATATTACCCAGCCATAAAAAAAAAATTGCAATGTGACCATTTGGAAGAATGTGAATGGATCTGGAGAGTATTATGCTAAGTGAAATAAGTCAGTCAAAGAGCAATAAATACCATAATATTTCATTAATATGTGGAATTTAAGAAAAAAAATGAGCATGTATAAGTTTTTGAGTATACATACATTTCATTTCTTTTGGGTACATACCTAAGAGTGAAATTGATGGGTCATATGATAACTCTATGTTAAAAATTTAAGAACTGTTTTCCAACGTGGCTAAACCATTTTACATTTACAACAATAGTGTACAATGGTTCCAATTTATCCACATCCCAGTCAACACTTGTTATTATCTGTCTTTTTTATTATAGTCATCATATAGGCTATAAAGTGGTATCTCATTGTGGTTTTGATTTCCACAATGACAAATGATGTTGAACATTTTTTTGTGTGTTTATTGGCCAGTTGCATATCTTCTTTGGATAAAGTATATTTAAATTATTTGCCCATTTTCAATTGCATTATTTGCCTTTTTATTATTAATATTTAAGAATTCTTTACATACTCTGAATATAAACTCCTTATCAGATATGTACTTTGAAAATATTTCCCCCCATTCTGTGGATAATCTTTTTCACTTTATTGATGTTCTTGTTTACAGCACTTCATGCAATTTTTATAGAGCTTTCTTTTATGACAATCTTCAATCACAGCATGAAAATTATTGAAAATGTCTTACCCGAACTATTTCACAGTCAACATTTAATTCAGTTGCAACGGCTTCAATTTTCTCTCTACACACAGAACCAAGGCTGGTCATGCCATTGTCCCAGTACTTCTTAAGGGTGGCTAAGTCTCGGTCACTGAACTGAGTGCGGTCTTGTAGCTATAAGACAGATTTAAAATAATTAGAACAATAAAAGGAAAGAATATTATAGACAGGGTCATCTGGGTGATCTATGCTAGGCTACTTTCAACACATAACTAAATTAATTTCACAGTTCTTAATATGTGTTGCCCCATTCTGAAATGGGCCTCTCCATGATATTTCCATAACACGAAAGTGTGTTAGAATAAAACAAGTCAAAAAAATTAACTGTTAGCAATTAGTATTTTTAAGTTGTTTTTAGTTTTTATTTTTACCATTTTTTTAAGGTAGACTTCACACCCATTGTGGGGCTTGAACTCACAACCCTGAGATCAAGAGTTGCATGCTCTACCAACTGAGCCAGAAAGGTGCACCAGCAAATAAGCAGTATTGATTTTAAATGATTATAATCACATAAATAATACATTGTATTGTCATTGTAGAAAATAAGGATACATTTTTTAAGAAAGAATTTAAATTATCCACAATTCTGTAAGTAACACTTGTTAATATTATAATGTCTATTTTTTTCATTTTTCTATGATACACATATTCATATTCACACTAAATATATTTTAAAAAATAACAGTTAGGGTGCCTGGGTGGCTCAGTCGGTTGAGCGTCCGACTTCAGCTCAGGTCATGATCTCACGGTTTGTGAGTTCGAGCCCCACATCGGGCTCCATACTGACTGCTTGGAGCCTGGAGCCTGCTTCGGATTCTGTGTCTCCTTCTCTCTGCCCCTCCCCTGCTTGCACTGTCTCTTTCTCTCTCTCTCTCTCTCTCTCTCTTTCAAAAATAAAAAACATTAAAAATATTTTAAAAAAATAACAGTCAAGATCACATCACTGTGGTGTCTTTTGAGAATTTAATCTAGATTGGCCATGTGTAGATCTTGTATTAATATTATAATAAATTAAAAGTGTAAATAAGAAAGGCTTAAGAAGATAAGGTAGCTTTTAATAATCATATTTATGGCTTCAGAAAGTTTCATAATAACCCTATCCTTTTTGTTTTTAGATTTTTTTATTCCAATAAACTATAGACCTTATATGTTATTTTAATTCAATGAATCCTAGAGGCAACTGTAGGAAGTAAATTAGAAGCATGATGGAATAATGACTTTCATTTTACTGATAAGGAGTCAGGAAAAGCAGGGTCAAAGGACACATTTAACAAGGAACAAAATGTCCATCGCAGAGCTAGAAATAGAAATCTGATTTTTTTTTCAAGTAACTTCATCCTTATGAGGTCTCCAATTAGCTAAGGAGGTGGTAAAAAAAAAATCTAAAAATAACTTTTAATTAAAAATCTATATCCTGCAAAGCCCTTGTATGTGTATGCATGTTTTTGTGATGAGAGAACAAGAATGAGAGAGCAAGAGAGTGAGAAAGAAAGCCTGTGATAGTGAGTTGAGGAGAAATGCTGCAAATCATGGAAGGAGGTATGAGGTTTTGTTGCTGCCTTCTGCCTAAAAAGATATGGTCTGGTCTCACAGAGGCTACACCTCAAATCCTTTATAGAAGTACACTGATTTCAATGTTCCCTTTCTTTCTTTTTTTTAAATTTATTTTTGAGACACAGAGAGACAGAGCATGAGCAGGGAAGGGGCAGAGAGAAAGGGAGACGCAGAATCTGAAACAGGCTCCAGGCTCTGAGCTGTCAGCACAGAGCCCGATGCAGGGCTCCAACTCACGGACTGTGAGATCATGATCTGAGCTGAAGTCGGACGCTTAATCGAGTCACCCAGGTGTCCCTCAACATTCCCTTTCTTAATGAAATTTAAAATAGAGCCCTCTCCTGAATTGGATTTGAATAACAATATAATGTATACAATATATAAAGCATGACTTAAATGAAAGAGTTATCATAGCTAAAACTGGTAAAATACTAAAAAACAAGTGCAAATATGTTTTAAAGCTACAACCCTTTGAACAAGAATTTTATTTTTTAATTTTTTAATGTTTACATTTTTATTTTTGAGAGAGAGAGAGTGACAAAATGTGAGCAGGGGAGAGACAGAGAGAGAGGGAGATGCAGCATTTGAAGCAGGCTCCAGGCTCTGAATGTCAGCACAGAGCCATTTCCAGGGACAAACCCACGAACCGTGAGATCATGACCTGAGCCAAAGTTGGTGGCTTAACCAACTGAGCCACACAAGCGGCCCTGAGAAAGAATTTTAAACATCAGGAGGGAAAGCAATATATGAACTTGTGGTTTACTACCAAAATAGTGAAGTTAGATTGTATAATTAATGTGTCTATTCATAGGCAATATAGTACAGTTGTTCTGTGCGTATGTTGATCATTCAACACAGATAAATGATAAATTTGTTTTTCCTCTACTTAAAAAGCCTTGATGAGTAACATTTATTGTAAGTACTAGTACTAAATTACATTTTCCTAAGGAACAAATCAAAATATACCATACAAGAGTTTTTAATCAAGTGGAATAAGCTTCAAGTATTTACAACATAAAAAGCTCATTAGGTTCCCATTGTATATCGATCGTACCATAGTTTTGTAACTAAAATAAAACAGAAAGCAAAATAAATGGTAGTAGGGTTCTAGGTAGATTCAAATAATCCACCATAACAGCCAGCATAAGGGTTTTTATATATTTCCATTGCATCAAGTTCTCCAGTGCAAGCCAGGCTACATTACTGTCAGAATGTAAGGAATAATGAACAGATCGCTGAACACACTCAGCCAATTAATTTGTAATTCATTTAGAGGACACCTGAAGCTGATTCATCCCTTAAATTGAACTAAATAAAACCTGACTTGATTTGTTAGAAATGTGCTGGGGTCCTAACATTAGCAATGTTGAAGGCAAGCTATTATGATAATGCCTATTAAGCAGAAACTTATGGGGGAAGAACAGTTAAAGTTCTTAAAAGCATCTTATCCAAGAAAATAATAAGGTTATAAAAATAATTTATCATTAAAACTGTAAATATTGATTTAGAGAAGAATAAAAAGGTGGACACAAAGGATAACGTACATTCTGCCCTCAAGTTAAAATCAGTTTTGCTTTTTGACGGGGATCTAAGCCACTTTCACTTTAGAAAGAAACCTACAGCCAAAACCACTGGCTCAAGTGAGAGAGACATATTAAACAATTCTCTTGTTGATTTTGTGAAAAGAATAACATTCCAGTAACCCTGAAACTAGGGTGAAAGCTGAGGTTTGGCCCAAGTGACCAGGTAATTGTATTGATTTTACATGGATTATATTGCAACACAATATTCAGAAACCTTCTGGTCTCTTCACAAACTTCATAACATTTGTAGGAATTTAGTTCTTTGCTTTTCTTTTAAAAATAAAATTAGATGGCAAAACTCTGATGTTGGGGAGTACAGTGTCCTGTTTTAAGTATGGATCTTACTTAAATGTAGAAGTAAACTATTTATATTCAGAGGAAGCCCCTTTAAAATGAGAACTATTAAAAAATTTTAATACAATTAACACTCCTTCAGCTTACTGCTTCAGTGTTCCATATGCTGTGCACCATTCTGCCCTATTTTAATCATCAGTCCAGACGCTAGCCTGTAGTGTTGAGACTTCAAACTTGTTTTGTGAAATTCTATTCATCTTTCTACTTGAAAATCAGCTCATTAGTAGCAGAGATCATACTTTTTTAGTTTTATTTTCATTGTAAAAATGAATAATACACTTGATACGAAAAATAGCCAAACTATCAGAAAGGTATAAAATAAGCTATAGTCTCTTTCCCTTATTTACAAATTCCTAATCTAAACACCAAGGCAACTTCTGTCAGTAGTTTCCAGAAACTTTCCAAAACAAAAATGCATATACACTTACAAAAAAAGTGATGATACTATAAACTTAAATTCTATTACTTACGTATATCTTGGAGCTATTTCTATACCATCACATTCAGATACACTACCTCAATCTTTTCTTTTCAATATATAAAATTTATTGTCAAATTGGTTTCCATACAACACCCAGTGCTCATCCCAAAAGGTGCCCTCCTCAATACCCACCACCCACCCTCCCCTCCCTCCCACTCCCCATCAACCCTCAGTTTGTTCTCAGTTTTTAAGAGTCTCTTATGCTTTGGTTCTCTCCACTGTAACCTCTTTTTTTTTCTTCCCCTCCTCCATGGGTTTCTGCTAAGTTTCTCAGGATCCACATAAGAGTGAAACATATGGTATCTTTCTCTGTATGGCTTATTTCACTTAGCATGACACTCTCCAGTTCCATCCACGTTGCTACAAAGGGCCATATTTCATTCTTTCTCATTGCCACGTAGTACTCCATTGTGTATATAAACCACAATTTCTTTATCCATTCACCAGTTGATGGACAGTTAGGCTCTTTCCATAATTTGGCTATTGTTGAGAGTGCTGCTATAAACATTGGGGTACAAGTGCCCCTAGGCATCAATACTCCTGTATCCCTTGGGTAAATTCCTAGCAGTGCTATTGATGGGTCATAGGGTAGGTCTATTTTTAATTTTTTGAGGAACCTCCACACTGTTTTCCAGAGTGGCTGCACCAGTTTGCATTCCCACCAACAGTGCAAGAGGGTTCCCGTTTCTCCACATCCTCTCCAGCATCTATAGTCTCCTGATTTGTTCATTTTGGCCACTCTGGCGTGAACTACCTCAATCTTTTTAACTGCTAAATTGTGTTCCATGGACCACATAAAAATATAAAGCTTCTGCACAGCAAAGAAAACAAGCAAAAATAATAAGACAATCTACTGAATAGGCAAAGATTTTGCAAATGACATATCCAATAAAGGCTTAGTATCCAGAATATATAAAGAACTTATACAACTCAACACCAAAAAACTCCCAAATAATCCAGTTTAAAAATGGGCAGAGGACAGGAACAGACATTTCTCCAAAGAAGTCATAGAGATGACTAACAGACACATGAAATGATGCTCAACATCACTCATCAGCAGGGAAACGCAAATCAAAACCACAATGAGGTATCACCTCACACCTCTCAAAATGGCTAAAATCAAAAACACAAAAAACAAGTAT